ACATCAGAACAGCGTCGGTAAGGGTTTGCGAGGAAACTTAGATCTCCCTCTGGGCATCCTGAAGAGATTGTAAAGCCTCCACCACCACACTGTTTTTCTAGCCCTTAGCATGTGTTGCTCTGTCAGATCCTTGTTGTTGAGGCTGCTAGTGAATCTCTTTTTTTGCCATTCTTTCTGGTGTAGTATGTAAACCACTACAAGTATTGACCATCAACAAATCTGCCTCCCCAGTAGAGTCGCCAAAATGTAGGGGGTCCAAAATGAACAATAATAATAATATTACGTAAAGAGGCAAAACTATGTTAATGGGTCAATAATTTGGCTAGGTTGGAGAACAAGTAGCCGAGTGAAGGTAGAGCAAAGAGAAGAATGTGGTAATGGAGAAATAGGCAGCACCTCCCCAAATCCCTCAAAGTTCTCCTTAGAGTCTTGTCCTCTTGATCCTCTTATTGAGTTCTCAAACCTTGGGAAAGTAGGTCTATTTATAGCCTTTTTCTTGGTACTAAGAGTACCATGTGGCCAAATAGGGTGATCACATGTGTCCAAGAGGATACATGGAAATGGAATTCCATTTCCTGAACCACCAGGTTTTGGTAGACACATGTCCCTTTGCATGTGCCTTTGTTGTACGAACTCAACAACTGCCACTGTTCTATTTGTTTGGCACAAAACCTCTGCAAGTACCTTTTTGGTGCAAACTTTAGCGAGTGCCGTTTTGGTATGGACTATAGGACGTGCACCTACTGTGGTGGCATTCTTCGCAATGGTATTTGCTGCAGCATCCGCTTTCTCAGTTCGGTTTTCCAAAGCATGCTTTCTCAGGACTCATGACATCTATCAGCCATACTTGTGTCTACCTCAGAGACTCCTCTACCCGTAGCCACTTAAACCCAAACTCCCCACCTTCCCAGGGCGAAGGCCACAGCTAAGCCTGCCATCAGTCATGTTGTGCCTTAGTACTAAGCCCAGGGGGGCTTCCTTGGTCCTACTAGTATAATCGAGACAGGTCCATGACCTGGGTAATGGAAAGGGAGTCCCTTGCTTTGAGGTTGCCCTGCCCTCATATTCGTGAGTTCGCCACGGTATACTAGTATCTTAGGGGCCTGCTATCAGCTCTAACTAGTAAGCTTTGGGGTTTGCTATCAGTGATGAGTTAGTAAATGCTTTGAGGTCTGCTATCAACACCAAGCATTAGTCTCTGTTTGCAGAGGGAAGGCCTTCCTCAAAGGCTACTATCACCCTTGTGGAGTCTCCCTTGGTAGGTAGTTGCGGCGGTTGTAGTTACTGTGACAACTCTTTTCATCGGCAAGTGGAAATGTCAACGCCGACAATACTGAAAATGGTGGCGCTGAGGTAAAGTGCCTCTGCAACTTGACTGTTGCAAGTGTTGCCTCGACAAGTAGTTTGCGGAGGGTTCATAGTTGGCTGCAATTGCTCTTTCTCTTTACAAGTTCAAATAACGGCGCCGACAATACTGGAAATGGCGGCGCTAAGGTAAAGTGCCTTAACAACTTAACCGCTGCAAGTGTTGCCTCCGCAACTTCCCTTGGCCATCTTGCTGCATGGAGCCTAGTCGGACCTGGTTCGCCCCTCTAGTTGACTTGCTTCCTTTGGGTTTTAGCCTATGCTCCTTTAATCATACTTGCTCGTCTAATAGAGGTGACCTCAACACTTAAGTCCATACTTAATTTATGCCTCTCTACAATTATAATCATAGAAATATGTTTGTTGTCATGGTGGATTATGGATTTCACTCATGTTAGATAGAATGGCATGCGTACAGTGTAAAGATTGTAATTACAGTGCCACTTATAATATCCCTTAATTGCTGAAATTGAAGTTTTTGTTTAAATCACAGTTAATTTAATAGAGCGTCAACTTGACTTGATATCCACTACAGAAGTATGGGTTGTTGCAATGAACATAGTTGTTAAATCGATATTCGAATCCTGAATTGAAATCCTACTTTTATGAACTATGAATCAAATCGAATCATGAATTGTAGGAGTTGGAGATAATTTAAAAAGAAATTAAAAAAAATAAATACATGTAGACATGTTGAGATTAAAATAAATGTGAAAATGAAGAATTTAGACATATAGTCACAAAAAACTTGATGTGATCACATGGCCTCAGAAGTAAGGAGCCTAATTGGAAATTAGGATCAATCAACTCAACTCAACTCAACTCAATAAGCTTTGATTCGTGATCACTTGGGTTGAGCTACATGGATCTGTTTTCTTCTGTTGGCTCTATCCAAATGCAAATCTTCAGTCAAGTTCAATCCAATTATGTCCCTTCTCATCACCTCAACCCATGTCTATCTTGACATTTTTCTTGTTATTTTGGTTCATTGTACCTGGGGTATGTCACTCCTTCTTACCTGCACATTATTCGGTCAATAATACATGGCCTAACCACTGCAATAGATTTTCTCTCATTTTATCTCAGTGACGTAATTTTCAAGGGTGTATGTTTTCCTTAGCTTTTCTTATGAGGTCACTCATCCATCTCAATGTTTGTATTTTAGTGACATTCGTTTTTTGAAAATTTTGTTTCTTTTTGTAATGTAAACATATTGGCTATTGTTATTGAAAATTTATTTGTTTTTCCTTCCTTTCTGACACTAGCTACAATTCCATTGTAGATGGCCGTAATCACATCAACATATGTTTACATTAAGAAGAAAGTAGGTTCCATAGTAGATCTCTCAAGCATAAAATGAAACTAATTCATGAAAATTATCTCTTGCCTTAATTTTGGCTTAATTATTCTTTTTAAATTTTTTATTTTATGACTCATAAGTGTAATACCACAGTATTCATTACACTTTCAATATCATTTTTATTCTCAAGATGGCACTAATGTGCTTTCTCTCCTTTCATCATGTACTCATAGTCTATAAAATCTTGTTAACAAATTAGTCAACTGAATTTCTCCTTCATCACTTGAACATTTCCAAGCTTTAATAGGAATTTCATCTAGTTCTACAACTTTTCCTGTCTTCTTATTTTTCAAAGCCTTATTTAGCTCTTCTAACCCTTTTTTTTTTATTTTTTCCCTTCTTTCTTTTCTTTTTGGGGGAAAATCTGTGACATTATTGCCCAAGTTATTCTCCTAAACTTATGCTCCCAAAGCGATTTTCATTAAATAACTTCTGTAAATTACATCTCTATTGTTTCTTAAATTAAACTTATTTCCCTTCACTAGCACTCTCTTATCTTCTGCTTTCATGCACTTAACATTGTTAAGTCTACCCCTTTCTTTCTCTTATCCTTGCCCCTTCTTCTTCTTCTTCTTCTTCTTCTTCTTCTTCTTCTTCTTCTTCTTCCTCTTTTATTTATTTATTTATTCATTTTTTTGGATCTCTTATTTAACTTTAAATCTTCCTTTTTTTTTTTTGGAGATCTCTTATTTTACTTAAAATATAGGTCAGTGCAAGCCTTATATTTAGTGTGAATAGCATTCCTAATCTCTTTATTAGCTTTGTTTTAGCTAATTAATACTGTCTGGAACTTTAATTTATTTTTACATGCATGGATCATCCTCTTTTTGCTTTATTTACATTTTGAAACTTTCCATTCCACCACAAAATTTCATTAGTTGAAGGTCCACTCCCCTTGATTCTCCAAAATATCTTTTCTAATTGTTGTAACCTAACTAGCTGTCTCAAACTACATAATATTGGCTTTCTTACTTGAATTCTATGTTCCTTACTTGATCATTTATTCTTAAAGGGGACTAATTTTCACTTGTGATGTTCAGCCTCCTAGTTTGTGTCCGTTTTTCCTTTCCGTTTCCTCCTTTAATACTCCACATCTAATACCACTAATCTGTATTATATAATTAGGTTCTGTCCTACTCTTTACTTTAGCAATCCTTGCATGTTCATCCATAAGCTTTTTTTACTAAGAAAGAAATTTATGAACATTTGTTTTACTTTCAATGAACCTCTTTTTGAAGTAAGTGTTTGCTAAGATTGTTCTGCCGTCATAATTTCTCTTTACAAGTAAAAGCCCCCACATGCCCTCTTATATCCCCCCAGTTCCTTCCCCTACATGGCCATTTAGATCCCACTCATTCCTATATTTGTCTTTTCCTCTATACCAAAGTTCATGTCCTGTTTCTCAATTTTCATACATGTCTTCGCAATCCTATTTTAGTTTTCCTTCTAATCATATTACTTAATAATTCCATTACATTGCAAGTGTATGTTCCATGTCCCAAGTTATTAAATTTATTTTATTCTCGTGATTACCTTCTTTACCTGCTAGCGCCTATCAAAGTGCAAAAACCCTAGCCTACTTCTCACCAAATCTTGATGCTAATTTGCGTTGCTTTAGGGGAATGCCTTAGATAATCCTTGCTCATTCATCATTGCACCCAGGCTCTAATGCGCAAGTAAGGAGTGCCGAACTAGAAAATTCTTAGGATTGATGCTCACGAGGTGTGACTATAAGTTTTTCTTTTTTGCTTCTGTAGTTTTTAAAGTGTGACTACATGTTGTCTTTCTACTTATTAGAAGTTGGGATTGCATGTGTAAAAAATAAGACACGCCTTGTGAATAAGTTGGGCAACTAAAAATGTCTTTGCGTTCTCATCCCTCATATTATGCATGCTTACTTGAGTGTGCATGGGCATGGCTGACCTGGGACACATAGTGGGATACTTCTAGATGTCACGCGGGTGACAGCTGTGCCTTTGTGACATGTTGCTCATGAAGAAAGTGGATGCTTATCATGTTACCTTGGATGGGGTTTTAAAAAGAACTTCACCAGCCTCCTTGTGTTTCTCAACCTATTGAGATACTGATAGACTACATTAATGGGTCATGTTGAGTGGCGGTAAGTCTCATTATAGAGCCCACAGAGAGCATTGTTTCAGCTGATTACTATGTATATAGTTTACACATTTCTTCAAGTAAAAGGTTAATTATAAGGATTTAAGGTCCAATAAATCTTTGCTATGACCTAAGTTCATTGTGCTTCCTTTTTTTACAGCAATGGATGTATCATCTGATCTTACAGAACTTGGAAGGACTCCTGTTGCAGTAATTTCTGCTGGTGTAAAATCAATATTAGATATTCCCAGAACCCTTGAGCATTTGGTATTTACAATTTATCTTCAAATATCATGGGAAACAACATTGATTTACTCAATATATGATGAATTGTTATTCCGTCAATGGTATAGGAAACTCAAGGAGTTTGTGTTGCTGCTTATAAAACTAATGAATTTCCGGCATTTTTCACGGAAACAAGTGGATGTAAGGTACATGCAATATATGACACCTTATCTTCTTATGCTTAACAGTTGCAATGATCTTCCTACTAATATTGAAAGATGATGAATCTAATTAACATAGTAACATGGTGTCGCAACTATGACACTACCTTTCACATTTGGCTACCATCGTAAATCTATTCAAACAAAGAAGAGGTTAGTGTGTCAATTTGGCGTGAGGGCTCATTAGTTAGATAGCATAACTGTTGATGTATGCGCTTGTTCTTGAAACTATCACATGGGATATGTGTGGTGGTAGTTAAATATTCCAACACATGGTTTATGAGGATTCTAAATCCCTCACAAAAAGTGGTAAATAGTCTTCTTTTTTGGCTCTATCATTTTAACATTACGAAAGAAGTTGACTTGATGTTATTGTATTTAAAAATTAGTTGTAAGATATATCAAATGATAATGATTCGAAAAAAGAACAAAGGAAAAAAAGAAAAGGGGGAAAAGAAAGAAAAGAAAGAAACAAGAATGAATGATTTATGTAATGGAAGTGGATCGATGGTTTAATTCTTTTTTGAAATGATATTGTATTACATGTGAAAATGTCTCATGAATTTTCAATTCTTGGCTGCTGTAACTGTAGTTGATTTATGTTGTAAACATTGCAGGCACCTTGCCGGGTAGACACACCAGAAGACTGTGCTCGGTTAATAGGCAAGTGTTAACACAATTTGTCTTTCCTCCTTGTATAAAGATATAGTGTACTTGCTTTTAATTTTTTAACTTGTTTTTGATTGCAGATGCAAACATGAAGCTCAAGCTTGGAACTGGTATTTTGATTGCAAATCCAATTCCAAAAGAACATGCTGCTTCAGGAAGTTTAATAGATTCTGCAATACAAAGAGCCCTCAGAGAAGCTAGGTAAAATAAATTTTCAATCATTGAAATTGTGAAGTGCCATATCGCTCTTTAATTGTTATTAATATTTTCTTGTCTGAGGTTGGAACCCCAGGGATAAGGGTATAACAGGCAATGCTGAAACTCCATTCTTGCTTGGTAGAGTGAATGAACTAACTGGAGGAGCCTCTTTGTCTTCAAGTATCCTTTGTCCTGATGCTCCAAAAACATGGTTACAGCTTTAAATTTTGCATATTCTTGTGAATTAATTAAGCCATGATGGAGACTTAATTTCAATTTTCTGAATCTTTAGTTGTCATCGGTAATCGATGTTCTTTGTTTTATTGAATAAATCTCCTTAATGAATCCATAGATATCGCTCTCGTGAAAAACAATGCTCTTCTTGGCGCTAAGATTTCTGTTTCTCTTGCTCAGATGCGAGAACGTGATGACGGAGGTGAGTTTTTGTCTTCCTAATTTGTTGGCAAAATTTTTACGATACCATGTCCTCAGCTAATTACATGACATGCTCAGTTTGGAGGAGCATATCACTAGAAGGAATCACCTTTCGGTCCACTTTAATCAACATAGTTGGATTATTCTTAGGCTATGTTTGGTTCATAGATTTGGGTATGAATTTGGAAAGACAAAAGAAAAATATATGTGAAATATAGGTGAAATGTTACAATTTTTCTTTTATTTTCTAAATTTCTTTTCCAAATCTATAAATCAAACAGCGTTAGTGATTTTACTTTTAGAGTCTCTCCTAGCATTTATAAGGAAATGTTTGGTTGCGTTATTTTTTTGTTTTTTATTTTTTAGTTTTCATTTCATTTTCTTTTTTTTAGAAATGGAAACAGTAAAAAAATTTGAAAACACCCATCATTTTCATTTTTTGTGCAAAAACAGTTTTTGAAAGTAGCTTTTTGGTGTTTTCCTAAAAGGTCGGTTAATTTTCAGAATTTCTTTTGAAAATAGTTTTCGGAACTGTTCACTAGTCAAGTTTCCTATGATTTGCAGAAAAAAGGAAACAACCAAATATGCTCAAATTTTACTCTAGTTTCTCATATTTTAACTTTCACTTGAATTTTATATGATGAGTGACGGGAGGAACTCATTAACAAAAAACATATGAAATTGGGATAATTACTGTTTGGCTTGCACATTAGTGATTGTTGTGCGATTCACAAGATTGGTTTCAGGTTATATTTTGATGATCCAAATTGTTCTTTTTTAGGAAATATTGAGTAAATGATACCTGTAAAAAAATCAAATTAATCAGATATCGATAATTTTTTCATCAAAACACATTTGTATATATAAAAAAATAAGGAAAAATTACGTGTAGGCCAAAATAAGTGGACTTATTGTCTAATAGGTCTTATGATAATTAATGATATTTTTTATCAGATGCTATTAAAAAATGTCACTAATTGCTAATTGCCAGTGATAGTTTAAAAATTTTGTGACGAAAAATGTCACTAATTATAAGTTTTAGCGACAATTTAAAAAATTAATCACAAAAAAACGTTATTAATTTTTAACTTTTAATGATAGTTTGAAAAATTCATAAAAAAAAAATCACTAATTGTAAATTTTAGCGATAATTTATAAAAATCGTGACAAAAAGTCACTAATTATCAATTCTTAGTGACATGCAAAAATCGTCATAATTTATTTTCAATAAGACTTGATGGAGTTAAGTCTAACTATTATGATCTATTAGTAGTTTACTCAAAAAATAAATCGGTATCTGATTTACTTGTGTTTTTACAAATATGTTCTACTAGATATTTTTTAAAAATTAAACAGTTCAGATTATCAAAATAAAGTTCAAAATAATTTTCATGAGCCGTTCAACAGTCACTTGCATAGGAGTGACTCTAAATCCTTAAAATACTAGTTTGAGGAATTAATTGTTGCAAGGCAAAGAAGCAAAGTTAAATTCAGGTCCAAGTTAGTGTGTGAAAAATGTTATTTACCCTAAATTCTATGAGTCAATTGTACTCAAAATTTTGAGAATTATGTGAATATCCATTTTTTTGTCTTTTTTCTTTACGGATTAAATTATTCAACTCATCCTGCTTATACATTTTATTACAATTGGTTTCATTTGTTTTTTGGTTTGTTTGCAGGTGCATAGGTCGTAGAATGTTAACAACTGTCAGATGTTGAATTCCTTGCATGAGAATCTTATTTTCTTATCTTTCATTTTCTTCTTGTGGGGATGTGTTGAGATAATAATACAGAAAAATAGAGAGATTGTTTCAGAAGGAAGGGCTCATATGAGAATTGTGTGTACATTAGACTGATAGATTTACATGCAAGCTGGTTGGTTAAAAAGTTAAGACTGATTCTACTTGCACTATTACTTTACCTCTTTATACCTTTTATAGGAGATTTTTTTTTTTTTTTTTCTCAATTTTACTCATGTGTGAAATTATTTTTAAGGATAAAATATTAAAATTAAATATATTTTATTATCTCCTTACACCCCTTAGTCTTCGATTCCTATTCTTCTTCCTTTCTCAATTTTTCTCCTCTTACACATCTCTTTTCAAAAAGTAAAAATCATAGTGTTTTGATCATACAAAAAAGCAATGGATGAAAAAACGGTGGTGAAGAACCATTAAAAAAGTGAAATTGTGAGTTTTTTAATTTGTTTGGTAGGTTTTTGTTTTATTTTTCTAAATAATTTTTCGACTTTTATTCGGTATTTCAAAATCGAACAAAATAAAATAGTTAGGCATCATATTGTCAAACAAAAAATGTCTGGTAATCAATTGCCGAATAAAAAATACATTTTCGATAATCCAAGACCGAATTTTTTAAATTTGTTTGGTCACTCATTACAGTGTATTTTCAGTTTCGTTTTTTTTTTTAATTATATATTTTTTGTATTTTTTCTTGGGGAATGCGAGGACGAGATGCGCGAGAAGTACCCACATCTATTCTCATGATTTACTCAGGTTAGTTTCGAGGACGAAACTTTTTTTTAGGAGGGGAGAATGTGAGAGCCCGAATATAAAAATTAAGTAAATAATTAAATAATAATATTACAATCTCAAATATTTTGGTGGTGAATTCTAAGGTGCAAATTAAATATTTGGAAGGTCTTTTAATTAATTTTTAAACCTAAAATAAATTTATGGTGAAAGTATTTAATTTAGAGGCAAGATTTATTATTTTTTTTAAAAAAAATAGAGGGTAAGTTTGTAAGTATATTTTGTTATATTAATAGTTATATTTTATTTAAATTAATGGGTTAGAAAATAAAATAATATAAAGAGAAAATAAGCTAGAGCCTTTTGTTTAGATACATAACCCTAGGTTGCCTAATACATTCTATAGCCGCAGCAGGAGGCAGCCACTGGGAGAGAGAGAGATTGAGAGAAAAGAAGAAGAAAAAAAAAGGGTTGCAAAGAAGGATGGATTTTTGGGTGTGTACTAGGTCTTTATCTTTCTTCTTCCTTAAGGTTTTGTTCTTTATCCTTACTCTATGATTATTTAGTTCATTGATAGAGAGGTTGTAGGTTTATGTATTGTGTATATAGATATCCTATTAAGAAACTTGAGGAGAAATTTGAGGAGTTAAATTCATGTATAAAGAATGGGTATTATTCTTAGTTAAAAAATTCTGCGCATAATCACGAACTTTAAAAATCAAGAAATCATATCAAACGGATGAATTTTGAACTGAAATTTTTACAGTAGATCAATTACATATTGAATTGCATATCTGAATTTTTTCATAATTTTTGGGAGTCAAAATCTATATAAATTGAGGTATTCAAATCTGACCTTTGTACGCAACCTTTTCTCGTTCGAATCTAAAATCTGAACAGGTATCTCCTCATACGAAAAATCCTCTCTAATCTGAAGCGGCTCATAATCTATCACATGCGACGGACTGTGCACATATTTCCTCAGCATAGACACGTAAAACACATTGTGCACTCCTGCCAATCTAGGGGGTAAAACAACATGGTACACAACCTCACTAACCTTCTCTAATACCTCAAATGGTCCAATGTATCTAGAACTCAACTTTCCTTCATTTCCAAACCTGATGACTCCTTTCCATGGTGATACTTTCAAAGAATACCATATCCCCCACATGAAACTCTAAGTCTCTCCTACAATGATCAGCATAACTTTTTTGTCTACGCTGAGCAGTCAATAATCTCTCCCTGATGGTGATAATTTTTTGTGTAGCATCCTCCACCAAATCAAGTCCCAACATTTGCATCTCACCAACCTCATACCAACACAAAGGAGACCTACACTTCCTCACATACAAAGCCTTATAAGGAGTTACTCCCAAACTAGAATGATAACTATTATTATACGCAAACTCCATGAGCGGCAAATAATCATCCCAATTACCTTGTAATCTGTTTTAAGTGGAAAATGTTGTTTATCATGTTCTTGTGAGACATGAGTATTTTAAGTGTTGAATTGTGGAACCTGTTTTTTGAAACAGATTGTATTTACCAAACTGTATGCCAATCTAGTTTCTGTGATATATATCTTATTTTGGAATTGAACCTTGTTTTCAAAACTGTATTTATTATCCATGTTGCTACTCACTGAGCTATCAGCTGATTTAGTTGTTTACCATTTCCAGGTCTTAGAAAGACTTAGAGTGGACTCATGGCGTAGTGGGGACTCAATTGCATGGACCTCTAGGGCATTTATTTAATTTGTTTTAGGTTGCTTTGTTGAGTTTTGTGCATACATTGTGGTTGGGTTTTATTTAGAATTATTTTATTTTGTGGACGGTTTGTGTCCCATTTAGTATATATATATTTTTAGGAAGTTGGTTATGACTTATTTTTCACTTGTGGTATGTCACTGGATTGAGTGTTGATTTATTTATTTCTGGGCTATCATCACATTTATTCTTTATGGTTTTGGATTCATGTTTAGGCTTACGTGTGCCTTGGGCTAAATCCCAGTGGGCCATGGCCGGTCATGTCTCTGTGTCCCATGACCGGCCGTGGCCCACAGGGACTTAGCCCAAGGCACACGTAAGCCTAAACATGAATCCAAAACCATAGAGAATAAATGTGATGATAGCCCAGAAATAAATAAATCAACACTCAATCCAGTGACATACCACAAGTGAAAAACAAGTCATTACCAACTTCCTAAAAATATATATATATACTAAATGGGACACAAACCGCCCACAAAATAAAATAATTCTAAATAAAACCAAACCACAATGTATGCACAAAACTCGACAAAGCAGCCTAAAACAAATTAAATAAATGCCCTAGAGGTCCATGCAATTGAGTCTCCGCTACGCCATGAGTCCACTCTAAGTCCTTCTAACACCTGGAAATGGTAAACAACTAAGTCAGCTGATAGTTCAGTGAGTAGCAACATGGATAGTAAATACAGTTTTGAAAACAGGGTTCAATTCCAAAATAAGATATATATCACAGAAACTAGATTGGCAACAATGCAAGTATTGCATTATTAGTGGACTCCAGTCATGAATTTATTATAGACGAGGTCTATTAAGTTTTTTTTATGAATATAATTTTTTTCTTATTTTTAATTTGTATTGAGTTTTATTAATAATTTGAGGAATAAAAGTATTTATTATCTTTAGATTTTTTTGTAGTCATTAAACATTAATTAAATTACTTTTGACTTTGGGAAGAATACTGGATTTGTCATTATTATAAAGATATCAGATGCGGGAGGTAATGACAGAAAATCAAGACTTACATTTGAGCTGAATTCGAATGTAGTGCATTACGTGCAACTATTTAGTTCATAGAAAAGGGTTGATGACCTTACCTCTTTATCTTATCCTATTTTGAATCTGGCCCTGGATTTAATTATTGGATGACTATGCCTGACGTAGGCCATTTGATAGCATCATATTACCGAGTCATTTTTTATCATTTATCCGCGCAACAGTGCTTGACATTTCTGCCACTTAGATCAGTACCGATTACAAAACTTGATCAAAGAGATATCTACATAGGATTTGTAAATAGAAACCATTTCGTGCAGGTATAAACTACCAAGTCCATTTAGATCATTACCATGTCTTATTTTATAATTCTACTTATTGATGTCTTTGTTATAAGTTTATTTGCAACCTGGTCATCCAGTACCTCCGATAACAAATAATTGGATTCATTTTCATTATTCGTGTGCTAGTGGATAGGAGAAAGCATATACTACCCGTATTCATCAATTTCGTACGCTTGTCAGCCCTGATGTAATAACTACCAAAACTATCGATTTAAACGAATTGTGATAACATGTTTGATTGATGGATGAAAACAATAACAGATTTTATGAATTTTTTATGGATGTTCGTATAATTGATATTTTTATAAATATTTTTATGGATACTTTTTATGTATGATTTTATAGATGCGTGTTTGATTTATTGATGTTTGAATGAAAAAGTAAATCTTTCAACGTACAGTAACAAGTGACTAGACAAATCTATTATAGTTTAACAATATGACACTAAAGTAATATAATTTGTATAACAATGTATTAGCGAACAGGCACTTCACAAGTGGCCGCGAATTAATTTCTTGTTATCATCCAATTGAACGACAATATACTGCTCAGAAAAAAAAAGTTTGTTTGGTAATATGGCACTAGATTAATTCAAATTCATCAGTGTATTACCGAACAGGCTCGACATAAATTTAAAAATCATTGTTTGGAAGAAAGTGACTATAAATATATAGCAACAAAATGCTGGAAAAATTTATTTTTTTCGGGCAACATAACACTAGAGGAATGTAAATCGTTTAGCACTGTGTGATTGAATAGGCACTTCGTTGTGGGCTCCACTCACTGCCTTCCTTGCGTCTTTCTCTATTCTCTTACTTTCCCTCAAAAAACTATTGGTGTAAAGAGATGGAAGGGTTTTGAAGAGTCTTACTTTGGGGTTAATTTTGGTAATATGATAGGTGTAATGAGAATCACATTTTTTTTTAGTAGTGTAATGAGATAGAGGACGTAAAGAGATAAAGTAGTGGTGCAAGTAGAATCACTCAAAAGTTAATTGTTCTTAACATTTCAATTGTCCCTTGGTGGAGTTGGTAATCACATATGGATACTATTAAGTTGTGTTTGGATTATGAATTTGGATAAGAATTTGAAAAGGGAAAAGAAAATATTTCACCCATCCAAATCCATGATTCAAACACAGGAGTAAAATGTCATTTCATCTCATGTGATGTTTTAGATAATACTAATCACATTATCTTTATGTATGTATGCATCTTTCATAGAAGTGTTACGGACAAAGCTCTGGATGATTGGAAAAGATGAAAGCAGTTTGAATTGCTAACGACGTTACACTGAAATATGGTATCTGATTTT